ATACAGCGAGGGTCACAAAGTTACTTTGGGGAACTGCTGTGAAGATTGAATGAGCTATAGAAGTAAGGCCCATGTGTAGCACCAGGCACACAGGAAGTGCCAAATGGATGGTAACCACTATTCCTGCCAGTCTGTAAGGTCCCTGCGAGCAGGTGTCACATTTGGTGTGCCCAGGCTGGGGACACATGCCCATGTGAGAGGCAGGGAAGCAGAGGTGATACAAGCCTGGCCAGATCACTGTGCTTCCATCCTGGCTCTGCCACTTGGCAGCTGAGTGAGGGCAAGTAGCTTAACCTCTCAGTGCCTCTGATTTCCTCATTTGTAAAATGGGCATAGTGATGGCACCTACTTTCTAGAAGTGTTGTAAGGAGGTGGTCCTCGAAGTGTTTTCCCCAGACCATCAGCATCACCTGAGAACTTGTTAGAAATGCAAAAGCTTGGGATCTACCCCAGACCTAAGGAATCAGGAATCCTGGGGGTGGGCCTGGCCCCCAGTGCTTTCCTGAGCCCTCCAGGTCTCTCCGATGTACGCTCAGTTTTGACGTCCAGCGTTGGGAAGGCAAAGTGCTGGGAAAGGTACCTGTCACGTAGTGAGTCTCGCCTGCTGTGGGTACTTGCATTTTGCAGTTGCAATTGGGGTTCTGGCACCTCCCACCCTTTCTAGCTTGTCTCTCCTTTTCTCCCTTAAGACCCCCCCTTGTCAGCACTGCACTGGCCTCCAACAATCAATCAACCACATCTGTGTAAGTCTCCGAGCTTCCGGGAAGTTGTCCCAGAGACGGGAATGCAAAGGGTTATTATTAGAACTTTGTCTCTTGACTCTCCCCCTTCAACCTGGGATCTTAAAGAACCGATGAATGTCACTCCCCTTCAGAAGGACAAACAGAGCTGGGGACTGAGGCGGTACCTGCCTGTGGGTTCCCCCAGCAAATTCTGCATGCCAGCCAGCCCCCAGCCCACACAGGTCTCTAGCCTTGGCCTGCAGACTGCCTCCCCCTACAGGCAGCAGCAAGGCATCCTCATCCCTGCACACATACATATTCATTCATTCATGTAATAGCAAACTTTTCTTATGTCCCTACTATGTGCCAGTCCCTATTCTAGGTGCTGGCGATTCACAAATGAACAAAACAAAGTTCCTGCTCTTGTGTGGCTAACATCCTAATGGGGGAGAGAGAAGCAAGCAGTTAGTCAATCAGTGAAATAATCTTATGTTAGCTGCTCGCTAAGCCTTGAATGAGTGAACGATGGTGGCGGTACCGGCCATGGGCTTTGGAGGCAGACACACCTGAGCTCAGATCTTGATCTTGTCTCTTCCTAGCTGTGCAGCTTCAGCCAGACCCTTAGCCTCTCTGAGCCTCTGTGTCGTCATCTCTAAAGTGGGGTACTAGTTGGATCCACCTCTAAGAGTAGTTAGGAAGATTACACGAGTGCAGTGCTAAGCACGGTGCCTGGTGCGTGGTGAGGGCTCCATGAAATTAGATGCTATCGCCATCCTTATTCAAGGTCACATAGCTAGCCGAAGTGCCAAGCTGGTCCTCTGTTGAGAGGTTTATCCACCGCAATATCTGTGGAGTCTACAAAGGACCCTAGTGATTGGCCAGTGAGCTGACCCCTGATTTTACAGACCAGGCACCTGAAGGTTAGATGGTGTGACTTTCCCTAAGTCACACCTGGAATGGAAGGCATCTTCCTGCTGGGGCGCAGGGCTGGGACCCACTGGCAGTCAGAAGGAGCAGAGCACCTGAAACAGAACCTCCCGGGGCCTCATAAGGGGCTCTCCCTCCCATCTCGTTGCCTCTTGGGCATCATCACTCCCGCTCACTCTTCCCATCCTCCTCCAGGAAGTGTACTGGGCTCGGGGGTGGGGGGGTGGGTGGGAGGCGGGGAGGTGTTGCGTGGGGCACAATCTGCACTGGTTGCCCATTTCATCTTTTCCCCCCACCGTTGGCTCTGCTCTGACCTTAAAGCTCCAGTGGGAGGCAGCACAGGTGGGAAGAGCCTGGACCGGGTGGTCAGATAGCCCCAGGTTTGAATCCTGGCTCTGGCACTCGCTGGCAGCGTGACCTTGGACCCCCTAAACTGCCCTTTCCGCATCTGTACCTACGTCCAGTGTCATTCCAAGGTAAATTGAGATGGTACTTGTACAGAACCCGGCATGGGGCTGGGCACATATTACATGCCCAGGTAATACTTCTCTCTCCCCTCCTACTTCCAGGAAAACCAATCTTCTTGCTCTTTTCTAAACATGCCCTCAACTTTCCAGCCTTCTTGCCTTTGCTGATGCCAACACCTTGCCTGGACCTCACCCCTCTGCCTGATCCCATGCTGTCTCTCCCTCCAAACAGAACTCCGCCTGCACCTCTCTCCCTCTGCCTGGTATGGTGGGTCTTCATTTCTATACAGATACTTAGAACTGCAAGCAAGGTGCGGATAGATTACAAACAATATCGCAGCCACCATTTATCAAGCACTTACTACGTGCTAGGCACTGCACTCAACACGCTCGTACATCATGGCAAGGAACGCTCACACAATCCCAGTGAGGTATCTATTATCACGCCCAGTTTACAGATGAGGAAACTGAGGCTTAGAGTCACTGAGCCGCTGCTCAGGTCGCCCAGCCAGGAAATGGTGGCCCTGGGAGTTGGGCCTCATTCATCTTTCCTTCTGCCCCACTGCTGGCAATGGGCTTGCTGCTCGGTAAATCTCTGCTGGATCTGTTGGAAGAGTTTATCCCCCTAAGATCCAAGTACGGCAGGGAGGGAGGCAGGGAGACAGGCAGGGAACCAGGCCAAAGCCTGCCCTGGTTTTTCTTCATCATTTAGGTTGTCGGTGAGCAGCCAGCCATGAAGACCCGGCCCAGAGCTTCTGAGCTGTGGCATATTGGCTGCAAGTAACAATGGGGAGGGAGGCCGGGAGGCCTGGGTTGGGGTCCTTGTGGGGACCAGGGCTTGGGATGGAGCTGACTGATAAGTGGCTCGGTGAGGATGGAGTTGGGGGGGGACCTGCTGCCCACTGGAATCACCCAAGACAAGCCACCAAGGTCTCTCTGATGCCTTCCACTCGGCTCCTTTAAAACTGCCTCCCTCCCTCCCAGCCATGAGAAGAACAGCTGGCATCGAAGGCCAGGGGACTCACTGCATATGACCTTGCTAGAGATGCTCCATTCTTATCTCTGGCATAAAACTTTAATAAACCCAACTCCCCCTTGCAGAGTCCTTGTACCTTTCCCAAAGCAATTTTGTGTCTATAGCCACTTAATTTTCACAACAAGCCCAAGCCAGTTTTAAGATAAAATCATGTACTCCATTTGCCAGCAAGGGAACCTAGGTGTGGACAGGTGACGTGACCAAGGTCACAGCTGATGGGGACAGAGAGGGAAGCAAGGCATGGGGGTCTGTGCTTACATTCAGGCAACAGATGTTAATTAAGTGCCTGCTTTGTGTCAGGTGGAGCCCAGGTGGTGCAGTGGTTAAGAGCTTGGCTGCTAACCAAAAGGTCAGCAGCTCGAATCCACCAGCCACTCCTTGGATACCCTATGGGGTGGTTCTACTCTGTCCTGTAGGGTTGCTATGAGTCGGAATCGACTTGATGGCAACGGGTTTGGTTTTTGTGTCAGGTATTGGCTAGATACTGGGGATAAAAGATGAATGCAACCCAGTCCCTATTTTAAAAAAATTAGTTAACAAACATGTATACAGCACTTACTAGCCCTGGTGGCACAGTGGTTTAGAGTTTGGCTGCTAACCAAAAAAAGGTTGGCAGTTAGAATCTACCAGCCGTTCCTTAGAAACCTTATGGGGCAGTTCTGCTCTGTCCTATAGGGTTGCTATGAGTCGGAATCGACTCGATGGCAACGGGTTTAGTTTTTTATTTTTTATTTTCGATGTACCATACACTTTACATATTAACACATCTAATCTTCATGACAACCTTATGAGATACAAACTATCAATCCCTTCAGTTCATAGATGAGGAAATGATGCCCAGAGTGGTTACTTGAATAGGTCCAAGGTCACACAACTAGAAAGTGGCAGAGCTGAGATTTGAACCTGGACAGCCCAGGCCAAGTCCATGCACCTACATACGTAGGAGGGAACATGGCATAGCACACTGGAAAGTGGTCTGGTTTGGAGTTATTCAGACTTGGCTCTAAATCCCGGCTCCGCCACTTATGTCCTAGCTCTTTGAACTAGGCTAAGCCCCTTGAACCTCAGTTTGCACATCTGCAAAATGGAGATATTTCCTGAGGATGCTGTGACGTCTAGAAGAGAGAAGCCTGTGAAAGCAGAAGGGGTGGGGTGGTGGCCTGCCAGTCCCTTGCCTGTGATAAGACCAAAGCTTGAAAAGTAAGCAAGGCCAGATATTCCTTATTCCTGATTCCCACACGACTCCTGGCTGGCTCTTTTCCCTGTCTCTCCTACAAGGCTGGAATGGTATGTCTGAATGAAGCCAAACAAGTTTCTGAGACTCGAGGTTACAGAACACCAGGACAAGATGCTGAGGAGGCTAGGAGATAAGGAATTTCCATCCCTGGAATCTAAGAACGTGAGAGCCCCAGAAGGGTCCTTGGAGATCAGTTGGCCTCATCTCCTCGGGTTACAGATGGCAGACTGAGGCCCAGAGAAGGGAAGAGACTGCTCAAGGTCACATAGCAGGCTTGGGCAGAGCAGGGACCAGAGCCCAGGCAAAACTGCAGGCAAAGTTCCAGAAAAATCCCCCATTCTCCTGAGTTCTCTACCCAATAGGGGAAAAGAGAATCCATTCCTTTTGGGTTGTTTAAATTTAGTAAAATATACCAGTTTCCTGCCCCCCCCCCAGCTCCTGTGACCAAGCTCTCAGACCTAATGGATTGCCCCCCACCTTTTTTCCTAATCTTGGGGTGTAAAAGAACCCCTTCTTCCCCTTCCCTGTAACCAGCATAGCTTCATGCTTTTTTTAAGCATTTGGACATCCTATGACCCACGCTGCGCCAGGCCCTAGTCACAGTGACCCACCTTCAGCCCCGATTTTGCCGTCCCCATCCTTGTCGCCAGCGGCCAGCAGCGTCCTGGTTTCTTTAGCAGACAGGTCTCTGGCATCTGAGGAGAAGCCCTTTAGGATGAATCTGGGGGAGGAAAGGGTGAGAGCAGGGAGGGAGTCAGGCGAGGTCACCTTGCACCGAATGGCTGGTGGGCTGGAATCTGCGCAGAGGACAGACATATGCAGCTGGGGCAGGCAGCACAGTGAGCACACATGCAGCTGTGCCAGGCCAGGCAGCCCGGGCTGTGCTGTGCCTTCGTGGGTGAGCATGCAGGAAGGGCAGGCTGGCCTCAACTAAGGATCAACCCCACTTCGGCGCCTGCATTTGTCTGTTTATTCATCATGCATTAAGTGCCTTCTCTGTGCCTTGCCCATACTGGATACTAGGGACACAGAGATGATCTTAGGAAGCTGCCTGATAAGATGGGGAGGAGGTCAAGTCCTCAGAGAGAGAACACACAGGGTAATGGATGCAATGATGGGGAGCAGAGAAGGGCACAAAGAGGATGCATCCATCCTGCCTAAGGGAAGGGAATGATCCCGGAAGGCTTCCTGGAGAAGGTGATGCCTAGATCACAGGTAGAAGTTAGCCTGAGTGTGTGTGTGCATGCACACGCATGTGTGGGCATGTGTGTATGTATGTGTTGGCATGGTTGGGTAGAAGAAATGTCCAGATAAATAGAACCCTTGTGGGAAGGTTTTGGGGAAAGACAGGATCGGTGGGGAGGTCCCCACTTGAAAAACCCCTTTCCACACCCTCTCCTTCCTCCTCATGACAAAATTCAAAGCATCTTTGGCTAGAGGGTGACATCAGACACAGCTGGGCCAGCAGATGTGGGCCAGGGAGTTTATGATGGGAGCTTTCTCTGCTGATGCAGTTTGGCATTTTCCTAGTCATAGGCTTCTCCTCCTCTGCTTTGCTCTAAGGATTCCTGAATCCACAAAGCTGGCTCTGCACCCCTGACTTTCCCTGAACCAGGTCTAGCCACCCTAGTACAGGAGTGGGGGTCTGCAGGATGGTGGAAGATGCCTTTAAACAAATGAAAATCAATGAAATACTAAAGCCAACATCCTCTGCCTTGCTTATGGTATTAGGCAACAGAAAAACTGTCTCTTCATTTGTATTAAATTATTAAGTAGCAGCATTCCATTAGCAATATTAAGTGGCTATAATTTAACCTAGTTAGCTGCGCTTTCTGCTGAGGGTTTTATTCTTCTGGAAGCAACAGCACCTGGAGCATTTCTCCCCCGGCTCCCTGGGTCTGAGCCCTGTGGTCATGCACAGTTATTTTCTGTGACAGGTGCAGAGAGAAGGGCGGCAGGGGCAGGGCTGACGGGAACCTGGAAGCAAGAGTCCCAACTCCACCCCTTCTCCCTGAGCCTCAGGATGGACATCCCCTGGGGGACTCAGTTTACCCCAGCTCCTCCTCCTCGATGAAGCCACTCTTGTCTTTATCCAGGATGTGGAACACCTTCTTCACATCATCCGGGCAAATTTTCTTCAGGCCGACCATTTGGAAGAACTTTTTGTGGTCGAAGGAGTCAGTAGCTGTGGGGGAGGAGTGAGTTAAAATGAGGACACAGAAGGGGCAGTAGGGAAGGGTGGGAGAATGGGGGGGGGCACAGTATTGGCTGATTGACTCCCACCTGCCAGCCTGGGGGAGGGGATTCAAGGGGATGAGCCTCCACCTGAGAGCTGAGCCTAGGCAAGGAGAGGTGGCTTTGCCCAAGGTCACACAGCTAGTGGGGGAAGACGTAGACTCGCACCCAGATCTTGCTGGCCCCCAAACCTGCCTCTCTGCCCACTGCACCCTGTGTTGATGGTGGAGGCAAAGCAGGGGCTTTCTGTAGAAGAAGCTCACCTTAGCACCAAACCAAGGCTTTTGGTCCCATGAGAACCTTGTTTCTGTGAAGGGGCAGTGGCTGAGTGGGAGCGGGCAGGGGTGCCCAAAGGTGGTGTGAGGAATGGCCACAGCATGTGTGGGGGTGGGGGAGGAAAGCCCACCTGCTTTGTGGCCACGGATGGTGTTGCCAGGAAAATTAGCACAGAGAGGACAACTTTTCCTCTCAAGGTCACACAGCGGGGGGAGGAGGCTGCAGGGAGGGGAGGACCCAGAAGTCTTGGCTTTGCAGAAACCCATTCTTGTGGGAGTGGGGGAGGGCTGGAAAGCTCCTGAGGATCCCAGCTAAGTTTCTCCTCAGAGGTAGCAAGTTGACTCAAGGCAGTGATCATTACCTACCCCAGAGCTTCTCCTTGCCAAGGGGAGGGGGCCCCAAGCAGAAAGGAAATGGGAGCTCCCCAATTTTCTGTCTTAAGTTCCACCCTTAGAACACCCTGGAAAGGGTACAAAGTTAGACCAGGTAACTTGGGGCGGGAGGGCTATCCTGTTAAGAGTCCGGCTTCTCCTCTCCTCTGCCCAAAGCAGGAGGGAAGAAAAGTTTCTTCCTCTGACACTCAGGTGAGGGACCAAGTCCTGGAGGCACAGTGGAGACCCCAGTTCTAACCCCCTTCTGCCACATTTGGTGACCTTGGGCAAGTCCCTCGCCCTTGCCGAGCCTCAGTTGGGGCAGCCAAGCGCTGAAGTCCGGGGCAGCTCGGAGAGGTGAAGCTGCTGGCTCCTCTCCCTCCTGCAGCCCGCCTGCCGGGACTAGAAGTTGGAAGCGTGAGGGATGCTCTGCGCAAGGTTGGGCAGAGCGGAGGGCCTCCTCCGGGAAGGTCACCTCGCTTGCGGGTCCGCTGAGCTACGGGGAGGGGGCTCGGATAGACGGGGAGCCAGCGACGGCCACCGCCGGGTGGGAAGTCTGGTGCACACCCCGGGTCGGGGAAAGGGGTGAGAAAGCGTGCGCGCTTGCAGCCCCTCCACGTGCTTTAAAGTGGAAGTCCCGGGAGCGCACAGAGCCTTCGGAGGTCCTGCCTCCGACCCTGAACTTCCCCCTTAATCTCGGACCCTTGAGTCTTCGTAGCGCGTGGACATCGGCCTCAGCGCGGCAAGTTTCGGTCGCTCGGGCAGGACGCCTGGCCTCCCTGCCCGCTGCCTGCGCCAAGTTCCGCCTGGACGAAGTCTGGGAAATGCTGAGGACCCCAGCGCCCCGCGGGATGCGTGGGCAGAAGAGGGGTGGGAGGACTGGACCGCCGCGGGGCTCGCGAAGTGCAGGGGAAAGGGGAGAGGATTAGGGGATGGAATGCGCAGGGGAGCGCGCTGCTCACCGGCAAAGGCCCCCACTGCCTTCTTGATGTCCTCCGCGTTGAGAAATTCTGTCATCGACATCCTGCAACTGTTTGAGCGGGCAGAGCAAGTGCGAAAAGATTAAAAAGTGCTTTTCTCATAATTTCTGCTCATATGACCAGCGCTGCAGTGCCGCGCGCCAGGTGCACGCGCGCCCGCCCGCCCTGGCGCAGCTCCAGGTGGCGCC